AATTATATATATATAATATATGTAATATATATATATTTAATTTCATTAAAAACCTATTGTAAAACCTCTGCATGCTACCTGTGTACAGTACTTTTCATGAATAGTCTGTGAATGAAGTGTGGTAGTCACCTTCTCACATTGCATTGTTAATTCCTCCTTATATTTTGTTGGCCCATTTTATGGATGAGTAAACTGAGTCCCCAACAACACAAACCAGGAGAGTGGCAGATGCAGGGTTTCAAAGCCCCCTTCACTTTATAACATAGTAGGAATAAAGTGAGGTCATTTTATTCAAACGTCGGAATTTGAGTTTGTAAGGCCACTGCAATATGCTATGAATTCTTTTTATTTCCTTTGCTTCCATCCACTAAGATCAATTTAATTCATGTAGCATTTATGGGATGCCACGAACTCATTCACTTTGGAGGGCAAGTGCTTTCTGTAAGCTGGAGGTGGTAGTAGGTCCCCTGAAGAAAAGTCAGGTGCTTTCCAGACAGCAGCCTGGCCAGAAGCCCAGGCCATCACGCCATTAGGAATGGTCTTTGGGGGTGGCAGGGGCCAATTGTCCCTGACTCTTTCTGAGGTGGGTAACACATGTGAGCTGCTTGACAGAAAGAAGCTGGCTTTGGGATCACCATTTGCTGCTCTGTAGCTGAGTAACACCAGGCAAGCCACTTGTATGCCAAGTCACCTGTAAAAGGAAGATGACGTGCAGGGTTACGACAAAGGATTTATGGGAAACGCATATCAAGCACAGGCTTGTTGCCTGGCATGTGCTATTAACTTGTATTTGTGTCCTTCTTTCCCAGTGAGCCAGGAAATTATCTCGCTACCTCTGTACAAACAGATCTAGAGGGGATCCCAAGAAGCAGGTCACAAAAAATTGATGACCAAGAAAAGAAGGCCCTTCCACCTGAAGTTTTTTCCTTTGTTAAGGTGAAATCTACAATTTAGTGGCATATTATGCATTCATGATGTTGTGTAAATGAGACTTGTATCTAGTTCCAAAACATTCCTATCATCCCGACAAAGACCCTGGGCTCAGTTACTCTCATTTCCCTCTCCCTCTATCCTCTGGAAACCATCAATGTGCATTGTTTTCAGTAGACTTACCTATTTTGAATATTTCACATAGAAGAAATCATATGACATGTAGTCTTTTGTATCTGGCTTCTTCCACTTAGCAAGTTCTTCCATGTTGTATCATGTACCAGAATTTCTTTTCTTTCTTTATTTTGGTACCAGGGATCAAACTCAGGACCTTGTGCTTGTGAGGCAGGCACGGTGCCACTGAGCTACATCCCTGACCCTTGAATTTCATTTTTTAAAATGTTGAGTAACATTTCTTCTAGTACATACCACAGACATTTGTTTATTCATCCTTTCATAGATATTTGAATTGTTCCCATCCTTTGGCTGTTGTGAAAAATGTTGCTGCTATAAATACTCATGTAGAAGTATTTGTTTAAGTATCTTCCATTCTTTTGGGTATATGAATAGGAGTGGAATGTCTAGGCCATATGGTAATTTTGTGTAACATTTTGAGAAACTTCTTTTTTTTCCAAATAGGCCACACCATTTTGTATTCCCATCAGCATAGGACAAAGGTTCTAGTTATTCTGTGTCCTCCTCAACACTTATTTTTTGTTTGTTTTGCATTACGGCCATCCTCGTGGATGCAAAGTGGTATCTCAGTGTATTTTCAATTTGCAATTCCCATTATCTTTATGTTTTAAATTCAGAGGAATTGTTACTTCTTTGAATTCTCTGATGGTTCATTTCTGGTGGCTAACATATCACAGGCTTTCAGGTCTTGGGGACTGAAGTTCTGTTCTACAACATTGATAGGGTTTTAAATTAGTACCCAGTCAGTAGAAGGTCGTGAGGCAATGCTCCCCATTGAAATTACAAACACACACACCCTTCGATCTAGCAGTCCCATGGCTAGAAATCTGTCATATGGATGCACTCCCATGTGGACAGAATGATGCATCTGTAAGACTATTTATTGCCATGTTATTTATAGTAGCAGCATATGGGAAACAAACTAACTGTCCCTCAACAGAAAACTAGTTAAACAAGTCTTGGCAGAATCATACAAAGGGATACTGTATAGCTATTTAAAAAGAGATGGAGACACCTCTGTGTGTGCAGACGTGGAAGGAACCTTTTTTTGGTGCTGGGGATTGAGTGCAGGACCTTGCGCTCGCTTGTAAGGCAGAAGCTGCGCCAATGAGCTAAGTTCCGGCCCTCAAGACCTTTGAAAGCGCAGAAGCAAATTAATATGTAGAATAGCACATAGTAACCCTTTATTTGAAAATAGGAGAAAAGAATGTTTGTATGCATGAATGTGTATGTTTTCTTGAGTATTCAGGAAATACTTTTGAGGAGAAGAAAATGGTGACAGAGAGACAAAGGTGGAAAGAACAATTTTTCTCTTGTTCCTTTGAAATTTCAAGCTCTAAATATATATTCTGCTCAAGAAACAAACAACTAAACCAAGACAATTCAGAAACACCCAGAGGTCTCAGAAATTTGTGCATTGATAATAATGATTTTATGACATTTTCAGTAGGACTCAGACTCTAACATAAAATTCACTTTGCAAATCAATGCCAGGGACTGAGTTGCAGAAGAAATAGTTCAAGTCACTCCTAGCTGTGGTGTTACCTCATTGACTTAATCACAATTTGAACCTGAGTAGTTCTGCTATTTCCCTAGTAACCTTTCACAGTGCTCCCTCCCCTTGGCTCCTGGGAGTCCTACCTCAGCCTCCCCCTGCAAATGGTGCTCAGATTAGAATAGATAGGACTAAGGTGTGGTCCTGGGCACTGGATGAAGATTGTACCCAAAGTGATTTCTTGAACTTGAAGCTGGGTACTCAGTGCTGCTCCCCTATCATGCAATTCAAGAGCTCTGAGCAGATCAGACAGCCCAGGAACACAGCTATGCCACTTTCTTGCTTGGTGAGTTTGAGTAAATCATCTCACATCTCTGATCCACTGTTTTCTTCAAGAGATGGAGGGAATGGGGAGGAAGGAGAGGGGAAGGAGCCATAAAAAAGTTAAGATGTGTTATATGCATCTATCAACTTTCCATGGAATGCAATCATTATGTACTGCAAACATGAACAAATAAAAAGATCAAAATGACTAAAGCTGAAAGATGGTAAGTGGGCTTTCCTAAAGTAAGCTCTGTGCTTGCTTTGGCAGCACATAGACTAAAGTAAGCTCTGTAAAATGATTTTAAAATGTGGAGGATTATGAATGTGAAAGTTCCTATGTAAAGTCCAGATCAGGTAAACATCCCTTATCTACTGGGATGTTTGAGAGCTGAGAATATGACAGAGAGTCATGAATTCTCCTCTTGGCAAGAGTTTTGAGGGGCCACGGGCTAGTGAGAAGGGTGGCGATGACAATGCATTACAGCCATGTGCTCAGTGTAGAGTGTGACTCCCTGTATAATGGGAGCAAAGAGGAGTAGGGCCCCACCTGTGCCTCGGACTTTGGCAAGGTTTACAAGACAAGATGACATTAGAATTGAATCTTGAAAGGGAAGTACACAGTTGCTAGGTACATGGGGGACATTCCAGGTGGAGGAAAAGTTTGGAAAAACAATGGGGTGGGGACAGAATAAGTCTAACTGGGTGACACCAAGCAACTGTCTGCTGCAGAGCTGGGAGTGTGTGGATGGAACAGAGGTTTCAAACAGATGAGCTTGAAGGACTTTTTATGGTAGGTAGCAGTTAGATGATGCAATAAGAAATACAATAAAACCAGGTAAATACAGAGCAGCATGGAATTGTTTTAAAGGCTGTCTTAAGCTGTGAAAGATCAAGAGCTGGAAGCTCCCACTCCAGACTCCCTGCATGTGGCCTGCATTGGCCATCAGTTTTGAGCATTTCCTTATTTGCAACACTGATCTACCATCCTGAACTTTGCACCACCCATGTCAAACCCCAGATGGCTCTAGCTCTTAGTCATGGGATCACCCCAGTCTTTGGTTTTTCCAAGATGAGATCCTAGACAATGCTCACTGTGCCCTGACTAATGGGCCACAGCCATTGTGAGCAACCCAGGATGAAGTCACCAATGCCAAACAGAGCAGAGTTCTCATGGTGTTGAGAGGTGCCTTGGAGAAAAGATTGCTCTGCTCAGGATGTACCCCAAAGTCAAATGGGAGATGGCTGCATCATGCTACTGCCACCAGCCTTCCAAACCCAAACCTAGTCCTGCCATTCCTCCTGCTTGCCTTCTCTCACTTAACCACTCAGCCTCTGCCTAGGTCAGTAATGGCAAACCTTTTAGAGCTTTCAATGATACAAACATCCTGCTGTGGCACGCATACCATAGCTTCTCCACCACTGGCCTAGGCCGTTTCAATGTGCCCCTCACCTCCTTTTGGAGTTTTATCTTCTGCTACTCCCTCCGTAGCCCTGTGCTCCTTCTTCCTTCTAGCTTGCGGAAGTGCAGTTTGACTCAGGGATTAAAAGATGTGCAGCTTACCCCAAGGACACCTCCTCTCCTAGGCCCTCTCAACACTTGGCACATTTCTCTCAGGTCTCTCTTCAGGTTGTTCATTTTTTGTGTCTTTTCTTGGTGAGCTTGTGATTTCCTTGAGGAGAGGGGCCATGCCTGATTTGTCTCTGTAGGATCAGGGACCAGCACTGTGTGTGGCCCATAACAGATGCTCAATAAATGTTAATGGATGAATGACAGGATGCTTGGAAGGGAGGAAGGAGAGAGGAAAGGAGTGAGGG